ATAATCTTTATCCAATAAGATATGAGATATTTATAATCCAATAAAATATTATGATGAAAGGTCATTATACAACAATAGTTATTTAATCAGAATAATTATAATAATGTGTATTATTAATGACAGATAGAAGAGTATAGATGATGTAGTTAAATATATAATACTTTAAGTATTATATCATGATTATAATGAATCTAAAATGATAGTAATAATGTATAATCTGCTAGAATAAGATCTGGATGTATTTATTAAAGAAAGTTATATAATAATATGTAGTTTCATTATAAGATTATAATATAATAATAAATATATATAATTTTATTAATAGACAAAGTTATTATATGTTTTTAATTATTATTAATTATTCTTTATTAATTTATTAATTGATTAAATTAATTAATTTTTTTCTAACTAAAATACCTGTTATATTTATAAGTATTTGATAATTATGAAATAATTATTTGAAATAATTATTTAAAATATTTGAAATGATTAATTGAAATAATTATTTGTAATAATCATTCAAAATGCTTGAAATAATTAATTGGAATGATTGCTTGAAATAATTATTTGGAATAACTATTCAAAGTGATCATTTGAAGTGATTATGTGAAGTAATCATATATAATGATCATTTATAATTATGAAAACTATTTAATTATAACAATATTATATTATATTATATATTATTATATTACATTGTGTTGATATAATATGAAAATATATATAAATACAAGTATTAATAATTAATAAAATTCAAGTTTTTTCAGTTTAATTTTAAGTTTTTTGTTCTTATTTAAAGTTTTTTTGATTTTATTTTAAGTTCTTTTAGTTTAATTTTAAGTTTATTTAGTTTAATTATATTAATTTTGAAGTTAAAAGTAATTTTTGATTAAGTTTTCTTTTAGTTTAGTTTTTTTAGATTTAGTTTTATTATTCTTATTTTATTATAAATATTATTTATTTATAAATTATTATGAATACAATTGCTATTATCTTTTTAAAATATTTTCATACTGTTATTATTTTATATAATTTATAGTTTTATTATAAAAAAATACATAATTAATATTATTATAATATAAATATTTAGTTTTTATTTTATTAATTAATTCATATTATAAATTTAATTGAATAATATTTTTTATATTTTATTGATTAATTTTATATTATTATAATTTATATTTTATAAAGATGATTATTTTAAATTATTATTTTAAATAATTATTTCAAATAATTACTTATTATTTATTAATTACTTATAAATATTACATATATCTTAATTAATAAAAAAATAAATTTTATAGTTTATAGAATCTCAAATATAATAAATAACAATTAAAAACATGTAATAAATTAATAATAAATTCATCTATTAATAAAATTATATATATATATTATTATATTATGATCTTATAATGAAATTATATCTTTATTATATAATATTTCTTAATAAACACTTTCAATATAAATTCCAAATATCATTCTAGCAGATTATATCATAAACATATTATTATTACTATTCTAAACTTGTTATAATCATAATATAATACTTAAAGTATTATATATTTGATTATATTATTTATACTTTTTCACTTGTCATTATTAATACATATTATTATAATTATCTGATTAAATAATTTATTATAATATTATAGATTTTCTCTTATATAATTTTATAATATTTTAGAATAATAACAATATATAATATTAAGTTAGGTAAAAGAATTTATATATTAAATAGCTTTAATATAAAAGAAAATACTAAGTTTACTAAAGATAAGTAATCATTTAAAATGATTATTTAAAGTGATTATTTGGAATGATTGCTTGAAGTAATTATTTGAAGTGATCATTTAGAGTGATCATTCAGAGTGATCATGTGCAATGATCATTTAGGATGATCATCGTAAAATATCAAATCACAACACTATTTGTAGATCAAATTGGAACAATAAATAAATCGCCAATTTCAGCTTAAATGAAAATAGATAAAAATTTTTTATAGAAGTTTATTGTCGGAAATAATCGTCAAAATCAGCATGATATCTCATGAATTAATATACCGAATTTGCTGAAAGTTTGAAGTAACTAGACTAGAACCCGAAGAAGATTTTTTTATTATTAGCATTTTGTTCGTTAAAACGGCATTGTGGCGAATTTCGCGTTCAAAGTTTATACTTTCTGACTCATACGGTGCGATTCATGGATCATAATACATTAATACAGTCAAAGCTCGATATGGTCGGTGTTTTTTAGGTTGTCATCGTTATATCGAGATTTAATTAGTTATCGTTATATCGAACTATTATGTCTCGGAATGTAACCTATGCATAAAAAATGTGAACCAAAAAGTTTCGTATAATCTAGAGTCAAGATTTAAGAAACTATTGTAATCTCATTTTATTTTAGGAATTAGCAAAGACCTTCGTAATTTCGTAATTACCCAAATTGCATTCCTAAGCTTAACATGTATAAATCACAAGAAACGTGTATTGTTTCCTGCCATAGTTTGTACACAGCCCAATTATCTAAAATTAATTACGAGATATCGATCTTACGGTGTATGCGCTAGAAAACACAAATATCAATATAATTTATTACTTATAATTTACAAATTATTGTGTACTATTATAATTATTGTGTATTATTATATTCGGGAGATGAAAAATTAACAAGGTTTAAGAATTGATAATGTTAAATGCATCACTAAAAAATTCAAATCAAAAAAGTATTAGCGATCAAATTATTGCAACACGTTATAACGCATTTTAAATCCATACCTCATAGTAGTACAATGGGGACCCTCTTCCGTACCAGTCCAAATTCTAAAGAAGAATTCTGTCGAGTCAGCATCATTTCCCAACTTGAAGTCTGGATTATCGGGAACGGTGAGCGTCACTTCTTTCTCTGCAGTCCCATCATCCCCAAAAAGTAACTTTTGGTCTGCAGGGGCTTGCCACAAAAACGCAGCCGCGCCTTTCGACGTGTATAAGTCAATCGAGATCAAGTATGTGGCTTTTGAATCGCCTTTTGTGACGCGAACAGTTACTTGCGAGTTTTTTACGAGGGAGAGTTTTCCGAGGGTTGCGTTTGGGTATAAGATTTTTATGGCTGATTGGTGGAAGAAAAAGAAGGCTGAGTTTTTTTGGAGTAATATATTATAGGTAGTAGAATTTATAGAGGCGTCTTCTTACCACTGCATTTTGGATCATATGTGGATGTGGATTCTTCAGCTATGATTTATTTTAATATCATTATTTAGTGTCATGCTAATCAAATGGTAGGATAGGATTATAAAAAGAAAATTACCAACTGGCAAAGCATTAGCCCAAGAAACCATCAAACTTATAATGATGAATGTCAGCAATAAGAAATATTTCGATTTGGAAAATTGCATTTTGGATGTTTTGCTGATTGATGGTGTGTTATAAATTTGGAATTAAATAATAACGTTTTTAGATATTTCTGAAAACACTGAAATATCGAAAGGTATTTATTTCTGGTTTGTCCCCACCCAATCCTTTATATACTTCATTATTTATATTGTAAAATCAAATAATATATAATATCTCCAAAGCCTCATTTCTCGTGATCATTGTTTATACTTATTATGTCAGTTTGTGCGTGGCTGATTGTATTGTTGTTCTTTTTTGGGCTTTTGATTTCTGAACTCTAAAATTTTCATGAATTACTTCTTCTCACACCCTTTAAAATGGTTGCTATTGTGTTGATCAATAATCGTGAACTGTTGTTAACGTCATTATGCGTTAGGTCATTCATTTTGATTGATCGATTGCTTGAATGGGATTTACCGTTATCGTTATGGTAAAAAATTTAAAATTCGGATATTTGGAAACGATGAACGATGGATGTTAACTTTTAAAATTCGAAACGGATGAAGGTGGGATGATAGTTTAATTGAGGTCCGGAAATCGTTGCTCATGAAAGTTATTGTGCTTGAAATTTTTAGCTTTTCATCATGCATTTCTTCCAACATGACCAAACAACCAATTTGTTATAATAATCATTGTGTACGAAATTATTTATCTAGAAGAAATACTTTTAATATTATAATTCCCGTCTCAACACCTAATTTTACATTATTGAATTTTACATCATTTCATTTGGTCGCACACAATGTATCTATTATGTTGCTCAATTGATGGGAAGGGGAAAAAGAATATATGATTTGTGTGTGAATAAATGCATTAAATTATGCGTTTGAGAATGGGAAGGAAGTTGCAAGTATTTGTGTATATATATGATAAGAGTTTTTGAGATTAGAACTATCCCTCTTATCATCTGTCTGATTTATTTCTGAATGAAAAATGTGTCACTGAAGAGAAAAATGGGAATTTGTAATTAATTAGTGATTATTAAATTACGACAATATAAACAAAATATCGATATGGAAAACATACCTAAAACTAGTACAATGTGGTCCGTCAGGAGTGCTTGTCCAAGCACGTAACTTATATTTGTAATCATCGCCACCACGTCCATACTTTGCGCTCGTATTTCCCTCTGGTACTGTCAACACGAAGGTTATATAGGCCGATCCATCGCTGTCAAAATACCAGGGACCGCTAGCTTCGGTTGCTATCATGCCTTTGTTGTTGAATAGCTCAATGAAGCTGACCTTATTGACTGATGATTGATTTTTGCTCACTATTACTGCCATACGGTCGCCTAATCTGAACAATGCTTGACCATTTGCGTCGTTTTGAATTTGTGTTACGATAGCTTTTTAATATATAAATGGGTAGATATGGGAAATGTGGTTTAGTTGTAAATGGGAAATGGATAGATAATGGATTAAGCGGATTAAATAATTTACCCGAACACATTGGATCAACTCGCTTTTCGATCAAATCCTTCTCTGTTCCAAATAAAATCAAAAAAGTTAAAAATTACTATTATTATAAAGTAAACAATCTAGAATCATACATTACCCGTTAACAAAGGTAAAGCACGAGCCGGAACCACCAGCACCACCACCAAACATATATACATCAAGAAAATAGCAGTTAGATTTTTTTTAGTAGTCATCATTAAGTATCATAAAATAAATAAAGTAGTAATTTGGGGTTGGTTTGTAGAAGTGGGAGCGCGAGTTATCAGATTATTGTTATATTAATTTCAAGATTTTTTTCGCTTTATTGATAAATAATACTTCTTCAAAAATTATCTTTATGTGAATATTATCATAAAAAAGGAATATTGGTCTTTCCGATTTTTTTTCGTTTCGTTAAAAATTAAAAAAAAATCGATAACACCAAAAGAAAAATACTCGTAAACCTCGGGTGATTTTATATAATCTAATGTATGCACATATGCGCGTCTTTGAACGTGAATGATTAACATTTATGGTCTATCACTCCTTCGATTTTTTGGTCACGAGGACCCACCGCATTAATGTTTTATCCATCCACAACATAAAAGAATTTAAGAAGCACAATCCCTATTGACGATGTATTCTACACAAAAAAATTCGATTGCATGCATGTAAATACAAGTCAACTGTGCAAATGTCATTCACTCAAGACTTTAACATTAATTTTTAATTCTTGTATCCCCACAATTTAATTACTGTTACATTCATTGAATAGAATTTTGAATTCCAGAACACGAAAATTTTTCCTATACAATTTGACCTTCCTATAATCACACCCTCGGGACATGAAAAACTGTGATTACCGTAAAGTTCCGTGAATAAACAATAGAACCCTAGCCATGGCGAATAAAATGTACGGTGCACGTGATCTGAAATAAGTCCATTAAAATACTAGATTAATATTAGATATCAAGTATTAGGGTTAGGGTTAGAGTTGAGATCAGAATTATATATAAAATTGTCTTACCGACATTTTTTGATATGCACCAAGCTAGATTTGGACATTTGTTTTTGTATTTTTCGCATTTTTTGTCTTTTTTGCATTTTCTTGTACCAAATTTGTTTTGTCGAGTTGATCAAAAATTTGTTACATTCCTATTGGTTGGATTAATTCATCATCACGTGCACCGTACATTTTATTCGCCAGGCTAGAGATTTCTTAAAGCAAGACAAGTCGTTTAGCCAGTTTAGCCACAGATTCGCCACAACATATAGATAACACATGACTTATCACGTGTCTTACACGATCTTACTGTTTGATTGGTAGATTCGCCAACTAGCAAAAAGTCATGTTTGTTTTTGTGTTTTAGTCTTAAGTATTAACAATGGATATTATATATTGTTTTTTCATGTTATTATAATTAAAATATTCATGTAATAATATATTTTATGTATCATTACAATTAAAATGTTTATGTCAAATAAAAAATTTTACAATAATACATAAAAAAATAATTAAGAAGAAGAGAAGAAAGAAAACATAAAGATGTGCTTATAATGATTAATTTTAATATTTATAGGAAGTTTTTCATTTTCGAATATTAATGTAAAACTTAGAAAAATCTTAAAAAAAATAAAATTAATATTTCTTACTCAAGAATAGATATTAAAGTTTCTTTTAAATTTCCAATGAATCTTGTTACTTTCTTTATATTGTTACCATTTTATATGAGCCCTTGGGAGAGCTGGTGAGTGCTTAATAACATTATAATAAGTTACTTGGCCAGGGTAATTATAGTAAAGTTTATTAA